TTGTGGTTGTTCAGTTGTAATGGTCACTTAGGCTTTTATATATATATAAAAACCTAAGCGACCATTACAACCAGATGACCGGACAACTGGACAGTAGCTACGATGCGCACTGACCACCAGGGGACAGATGCTCAATGCAGGAGCTACCCCGATGGTCAGTGCGCTCCCACAGCCAACCTCCCACAGCCAGCCAACCTCCCACAGCCAGCCAACCTCCCACAGCCAGCCAACCTCATGTGTCCCCTCCCCACACCCCCACTCCCGGCTGGTCCGGATCGGCCCTGATCGCTGGCCTGGCCGAGGGACCCCACCCATGCACGAATTTGTGCACCAGGCCTCTAGTATAAAATAAGACAGGCAGTGCAGCCGGTGTGGCTCTGTGGTTGAGCATCAACCTGTGAACAGGAAGTCACAGTTCAATTCCTGGTCAAAGCACATGCCCAGGTGGCGGGCTCAATCCCCAGTGTGGGGCATGCAGGAGGCAGCCAATCGATGTTTCTCTCATCAATGTTTCTATCTCTGTATCCTTCTCCCCTCTAAAAATCAAAACTTTTTTTTTTAAACAAAGTCTTTATCTTCATTTGCCTTTTTATGCATAACTGTCCCACTGCTGTCCCAGCCCAGTGAATTTAATGTCCTTTTTCTATTGTATACATATTGATGAAAAGGATTATTCTGTTTAAAATTGGGACACTGTCATTTTGCAACTTGTTTAACTATATAGCATTCTACCAAGAGAACAGACATCTATACACCTACCGATGACTCCATTTGCTGTGCCTGTGCGAAGGTGACCATCCTGGTGTCTTTTGCAGCACTTGGCAAGAGTTCCCAAGTAGCAATCTTCTGAGGTATTTATACCCCAAGGGCATCAAATACGTTCCAAGGAGCACATGGACATGGATAGTTCAGTAACTGCTTTCTAGATCAAGTTCCACACAAGCACCTCCATAAAACTGCTGTGCGCAGGCACAACACCTGCAATCAGGCTTCCCATCAAAACTGTACAGAAGGCATCGCTCACCCAGCTTGAATCCGAGTTTGGTGTCCACTATATTTAAAAACCTTTATATTTAACCTGTAAAAACCTTTGGGAAGCCAAACAGGACAATTTGAAATACTGGTCAGTGAAGCCTCCTTTAACTGAGACCATGATATCCCCACCTAGTAAGAGAGGAGTTTCCATCCTAGCCGGGTTTGACTCAGTGGATAGGGCATCGGCCTGTGGATTGAAGGGTCCCGGCTTCGATTCCAGTCAAGAGGTCAAGGGCACATGCCTGGGTTGTGGGCTCAATCCCCAGTAGGGGTGTGCAGGAGGCAGCCAATCAATTATTCTCATCATTGATGTTTCTCTCCCTCTCCCTTCCTCTCTAAAATCAATGAAAAAAATATTTTTTTTAGCCCTGGCTGGTTTGGTTCAGTAGAGTGTTGGCCTGCGAACTGAAGGGTCCTGGGTTTGATTCCAGTCAGGGGTGCATGCCCGGTTTGCAGGCTTGATCCCCAATGGAAGGCGTGCAGGAGGCAACTGATTGATGATTCTCATCATTGATGTTTCTATCTCTCCCTTCCTCTCTGAAATCAATAAGAATATATTTTAATTTTTCTTTCTTAAAAGGGGGGTTTCCAATAAAATTTTACCCCAACATCAACAAACGATTTGCTGTACGGTTCAAGAGTGTATTCATTATAAAACAATTTTAATATTAAAAAAACATGAACATGTGGTGTCTTATGGTCATGGCAAATTAAAATTTAACATTTCAACTTATACACAAGTATGTTGCAAAGAAATAAAGATAAACAATAAGGCCTTCAAGCATAAAAATTTATTGTATTAGGGTGATGTTTTTGTGGTGGAAATTTAACAAATACAGGTTTCCAGGGAGAAAAAAGATCAATGTTAAATCTGAATCATTTATTTGTTTAATTGGATCATAGTAACCATCAACTCATGGTATTACATTCCACTGCAAACATTAGATATAATAGCTTTTTTATTATTGATTTTGAGAGAAAGAAACATTCATAGGTTGCCTCTCACACATCCCCAACTGGGGAAGGAACCTGCAACCTACATATGTGCCCTGACCAGAAATTGAACCCACCACCTTTTGGTGTATATAGGATGACCCTCCAATCAACTGTGCCACACTGGGCCAGAATATAATAGTTTTATATTTAAATATCAATGTTTATGATACACCAGAAATTACATATTTTTCAACTACTTAAATTTACACTCTCCAGTGGCTCTGAAAGCACTCCTCAAAGTTTATCAAATTTCTAGCACTTGCCCTAACAGGTTTGGCTCAGTGGACAGAGCGTCGGCCTGCAGACTGAAAGGTCCCAGGTTCGATTTCAGTCAAGGGCATGTACCTTGGTTGCGGGCACATCCCCAGTTTGGGGTGTGCAGGAAGCAGCTGATTGATGTTTCTAACTCTCTATCCCTCCCCCTTCCTCTCTGTTAAAAATCAATAAAATATATTTAAAAAAAAATTTCTAGCACTCATGAGAGTACAGTGGTTAAGACCAACCCTGACTTGAATTCTCGCTCCCACCACCACTTACATAGCTGCAAATCACTGAACCTCTCTGGGCCTGTTTCCTCATCTGTATAATGGGTTTAATTAAAGTACTACCTCAGCTCAAAATCCACATAGGATGAGATTAAACAGAGATGGAAGCCCCCCTCCCACCCCACCCTTGAATCCATAGTTCAGAAACATTACTGAGACTTAGATAGATGTTAGTGAATCCTGCATAGAAATGTCTGGAGTGGTTCATCTATATAAATAAAAGCCTAATTGTTTGACTGGGAGTTCAACTGCTCGCTATGACGTGTGCTGACCACCAGGGGGCGGCACGAAACATGGCAGGCATCGGAGACGCAGCGCTGGCAGTGAAAGGCTGCCGGCCCCAATAAGAGCAGGACGGTGGCTGGATGGTGGAGCAGGAGAGCAGGCGGCGCCAGGCCAAGGTGGGTGCGAGCGGGGGCCCGATTGCCCCATCAATTACCCCACAGACTGCGACCATAGGTGGGGGGCGGGGCTGCCACCTGGCTCCCAGGTGCCAAGGGAGCCGGGTGGAGGGCCTGGTCCTGATTGATCACCCCGCAGGGCGGGATGGTGGAGCAGGTGAGGATGGCGCCAGGCCAAGGCGGGGTGGCAGGCAAGGCTGCAAGGCTGGGGGCAAGAGCTAGGGCTGCGAGGCTGGAGCCCGATTCCCGCAGGCCACCCGGAGGGACCCCACCCATGCATAAATTCATGCACCAGGCCTCTAGTGTGTGTGTGTGTGTGTGTGTGTGTGTGTGTGTGTGTGTGTAAAAAGGCTAATATGCTAAGTGTCCTTCCCACCGTCTGACTGGTTGCTATGATGCACACTGACCACCATGGGGCAAATGCTCAATGCAGGAGCTGCCGAGCTGCAGTGACTTGGCAGCAGCGGTTCTCAGGTGACACACCCTGAAACCAGAGAGGAGGGAGCCCAATTCCTCACGGGCCACGTGATTCCACCTTCGGCTGTGGGTTATGTTGTTGCTAGGCACTGAGGGCCCCAAATCTGGTTTACTGCACACTGAATTTGCGCTCCACACCCTGTACGACAGCAACTTTGCAGAGTGCCCTCTCGCACTCTGGGACCCCTTGGCGGATGTCAGAGAGCCGGTTTCCGCCCGATCCCCACAGGCCAGGCCGAGGGACCCCACCTGCCGAGGGACCCGGCTCACTCCACAGACGCCAGGGAGGGACCATGGGAGGTTGGCTCCAGGGCGTGTCCAGCCCTTCTCCCCCAGTCCCGCCCCACCCGAAACCTTCTAATTAATTTCCTTTCAATGTGCACGAATCCGTGCACCAGGCCACTAATCCTATATAATAGAAGCGTAATATGCAAATCAACCGAATGGCAGAACAACCGGTCACTATGATGCGCACTGACCATCAGGGGGCAGACACTCAACGCAGGAGCTCCACAATGGGAGCACTGCTGAGCCAGAAGCCAGGCTCAAGCTGGCAAGTGCAGTGGCGGGAGCCTCCGCTGCAGATGGGCAGTAAGGAGTGAGGGGGTCCCAGACTGCAAGAGGGATGTCTGACTGCCAGCTTAGGCGGACATCCCCTGAGGGGTCCCGGACTGCAAGAGGCGCAGGCCAGGCTGAGGGACAGCCCCCCCCCCCCGCCCCCCCAGTACACAAATCTTGTGCACCAGGCCTCTAGTTTAAATATAAATATTTCCACTGCTTAAACGGCTTTTTAAACTACGCATTTTACACATACCAAGTAGCCACCAGCAGGCATTCTGGGATGCCTAGATTACTGCAG